GCCAAGTTGCCCAGGCGGGTCTCGAACCCGCAGGCTCAGTCTATCCACTCACCTCAGCCTCCCAAAGGCATGGGATTACAGGCTGAGCCACCAAGCCCAGCAGAGTATAGATCTTTGCTGTGCTCAGTGGCTCATGCCTGTAGTTTCAGTACTTTGGGAGGCCGAGGTGAGAGGATTTTTGAACCCAGGAGTTTGAGACCACCTGGACAACATAATGAGACTTCATCTCTATGAAAAAAAAAAATTTAACTAGATGTGATGGTGCTTGCCTGTAGTCCCAGCTACTCAGAAGGCTGAGGAGAAAGGATCACCTAAGTCCAGGAGGTTGTGTCTGCTGTGAGCCATGGTCATGCCTTTGCACTCCAGTCTGGGTGATAGAGCGAGACCCCAACTCAATAATAATAATAATAATAAATCTTTGAACTCTAAAGGTGAGCATTCTCTTTCTGATAAGTGGTGAGTCATTCCAAGACATTGCCTCAGAGTTGTCTTACCTTTATGTCAGGTCATAGCCATTGTATAACTGGAAATGGCCGAGTTTCATCGTTGTTACCAACTCACTGTCATGAATCCTAGGGTGTGCCTTAATCCAGATTTCTTGTGGTGGGCTACTGAATGGGTTTTTATTCCTTAATCACTTCAATAATATGCAACTATTAAAATTATGATTATGAGCCGGGCTTGGTGGCTCATCCTGTAATCCCGCACCTTTGGCAGGCTGAGGTGAGTGGATTGCCTGAGCCCACGGGTTCGAGACCCGCCTGGGCAGGCGAGACCTCATCTCTACAATAAAATAAATAAATTAGCCGGGCATGGTAGCGCGCGCCTGTAATTCCGGCTACTCGGAGGGCTGAGGCGGAAGGATCGCCAGAGCCCAGCAGGTCGAGGCTGCGGTGGCTGGGAGCGGCCATTGCACTCCAGTCTGGGTGACAGAGTGAGACTCCAACTCAAAAAAAAAAAATTATGATTATGAACCAGGCCTAGTGTTCCTGTCTGTAGTCCCAGCTACTCAGGAGGCTGAGGCAGGAGGATCACTTGAGCCCAGGACTTCGGGGCTGCAGTGAGCTATTACCGTGCCACTGCACTCCAGCCTAAGATTCAGAGTGAGACTCTCAACTCTTTTTTAAAAAAGAAAAAGGAACAAAATCATAATAATGATGAATACTGTAACAACACAGAAAAAAGCTTATGACTTAATTTTTCAAAACTCTGATGCTGTACTAGCTGAGCTCTCCAGGCTCCTAATGACCTAATTTTTAAAAAAGCAGAATACAAAATTGTATCTAGACAGAGTTCTAACTTTTAAAACTTTGTATTTGGGTGATTACTGAGAAAGGATCATGGAAAAATGAAACGGTTGAAATGCTAAGGACTAAGGACTATGACAGAACTAAGAGTAGTGTTTCTTATTTTTAAAGTCCCTTATATAACAAGAATAATCTGAAGGGAAAAAACCTTCATATGAAGGCTGGGTATGGTGACTCATGCCTATAATCCCAGTACTTTGAGAATCCGAGGTGAGAGGATTGCCTGAGCCCACAGGTTCAAGACCAGCCTGGGCAACTTGGCGAGATCTCATCTCTACAATAAATCAAAAATTTAGCCGGGCTTGGTGGCGCACACTGGTGGTTCCAGCTATTTGGAAGGCTGAGGCGGAAGGATCACCCGAGCCCAGCAGGTCGAGGCTGCAGTGGCCGGGAGCATGCCACTGCACTCCAGCCTGGGCAACAGAGTGAGACTCTTAACTCAAAAAAAAAAAAAAAAAGAAAGATTGGAGAGCCAGTGTAGTGATTTGTGCCTATAATCCCAGCTACTCAGGAGACAGGGGTGGGAGGATCACTTGAGCCAAGGAGTTTAAGACCAGTCTGGGTAATGTAGCAAGATTCCATCTCTACAAAAATAAAAAACAATTATCTGGGCATAATGGCATGTACCTGTGGTCCCAACTACTGGGGAAGCTGAAGCGGGAGTATTGCTTGAGCCTAGGAAGTCAAAGCTCCAGTGAGCTATGATCACACCATTGCACACTAACCTGGGAAAGAGCAAGACCCTGACTTTAAAAAAAATAAAAAGATGAAAATTTTAGCTATTTTAATTCTTAAAATCTTTTTGAATTATTAATATTAATAGCTTTGTAAAATTCATTAATTTTGCATGTCCACATCATATTCAGTTCTTTCTTTCTTTTTTTTTTTGGAGTTGGGATCTCACTCTGTCACCCAGCCTGCAGCCTCAGCCTCCTGGGTTCAAGTGATCTTCCAACTCAGCTTCCCAAGTAGCTGGGACTACCGGCATGCACCACCAATCCCAACCAATTTTTACGTTTTTTTTGTAGAGTTGAAGTCTTGCTGTGTTGTCCAGGCTGGTCTTGAACTCTTGGACTCAAGCAGTCCTCCACCTCAGCCCTCCAAAGTGCTGGGATTACAGGTACGGGCCCCGTGCCTTGCCCAGTTCTTTCAAAATAAGAATTATACAGCCGGGTTCAGTGGCTCAACCTGTAATCCCGCACCTTTGGGAGGCTGAGGTGAGTGGATTGCCTGAGCCCGCGGTAGACCCGTCTGGGCAACTTGGCAAGACCTCATCTCTACAATAAATAAAAAATCAGCCGGGCGTGATAGCGCATGCCTGTAATTCCGGCTACTTGGAAGACTGAGGCGGAAGGATCGCCGGAGCCCAGCAGGTCGAGGCTGCGGTGGCCGGGAGTGGCCACTGCACTCCAGTCTGGGCGACAGAGTGAGACTCCAACTCAAAAAAACAAAAAAAATTATCCAAAACTAATTGATTGAAGTATATTTTGAAAGTAAATTAAATGAGTTACATAAAAAGTCCAAAGGCCTTCCAAAAATATTAGCTTCTCTTTTAAGTTGGAGTATAATTACCAGAAAAAAGGAGACAATTATGATGGTGATGATGAAGATAATAGTTATATATATATTTCAAACTATTTATTAATTGTTTATTTTTCAAGATAAACTATTTCTTAGCCCACATAGCATGTTTCATAGTTCAGGAACACAGGTCAGCGACAGACTTCTGTGTAATTCAACCCTAATCAATTCTTTATATTCCAGAATCATTTTGTAATCTAAAAGATACCAGCCTTCCTCCTCTCCCCAAGAGTTTTCATGGAATCATAATTCCTGTAGAAATCTGCATATGCCTTCTTTCTTGGTTAAGCCACAGCAAACTTATAGAAAGCTGCAACCTCAGGTGCTGTTGGGTGGATTGTGGTGTGTTGCTTCATGGGTTTTTGATTTTGCCATGGAAAACAATTTCAGCGTGAATCCAAAGTATACTTTTTCTTTTTTAGAAAGCAGGATTTATTCAGAAGACAGAAAAGCTCCCATAGTGGGAGGGGACTCGAAGGAGTTGCCCCAAAGTATACTTTAAGAAAGAGGTTTTTTGTTTTTGAGCTGGCGTCTCACTCTGTCACCTAGGCTGGAGTGCAGTGACACACTCATGACCACCACAGCCTCGATTTGCTGGGCTCAGGTGATCCTTCCACCTCAGCCTTCCAAGTAGCTGGAACCACAGGCATGCGCCACCACGCCCAGCTAATTTTCTGATTTATTGTGGAGACAAGGTCTTGTCAAGTTTCCCAGACTGGTCTCTTGCCAGTCCTCTTGCTACTGCTTTCCTGAGTGCTAGGATTACAGGCATGAACCACTGTGCCTGGCTAAGAAAGACTTTATTAGAAAAAAAAAAAAGGTGCATGCTCAAGGAAAAGTGTGGGTGCTTTAATTGAAAGAGCTTGTGCTTGCCTTTGACAAGAAACTTTATTTTTTTACAATGATGACTAAGCAAACTAGGAGCCAAAAGTGCAGGGTTTGCAGGTATCCCATCACAAATTTTGATGACCATCTCTCAACCTTTTAAGGATACAAGGACCTTCTAAATAGTAAAAGTTATTGCCTAACTGAATTTAGGTTTTTCTTAGAACATCATGTCTCTGTTTTGGGTGATTCCCTATTGTTTTTGTGATTTACTGTACTGGTAGCTCCATAAGTTCCACTTTCCAACCGCAAGGGGGTCAAGTCTGATATGTCTGGTCAGTTGGGTGAAGGTCATGTACCTATAAAAATGATGTCTGGCTGCTTACCCTCTATTTATTTATTTATTGGAGATGAGGTTTTGCTCTGGATGCTTACCCTATTTTATTCATTCATTCATTCACTCATTTATTAGAGATGAGGTCTTGCTTTGTAGCCTAGGCTGGTCTTGAGCTCCTGGGCTCAAGTAATCCTCATGCCTCAGCCTCCCAAAGTGTTGGTATTACAGGCATGAGCCATTGCACCTGGCCGCTAACCCTATTTTAATTTAGACCTGCCTGCTAGAAACACATCTATCTCTAAGGTACATCGGTTAACCTGACTCACAGGGATACAGTGAATGCTCCAACAATGTGAAACCACAGACATGTGGTCAAAAGCCCAACAGGTAAAAAGACCATGCATCTGAGGTTTTGATAAAATGCTGGAAACCGTGGTAGTTATTGTCCTCTATTGCTCTGTCAACCTCAACACTAGCTTCCTTCCTGGATGATGGAGAAATGGAGGGCCTAATAATTATATATTCTGAGGGTTTGCTGTGTGCTGAACACTGAACTAAGTGCTATGCTTATGTTATTTCACTAATCCCCAATACCACTCTATAGAGTTACTGTTTTTATTCCCATTTACAGGGAGCACTTTTAGGGAAGATAACTGTCTTAGCCTGGGTGACCAAGTGGAAGAGCCAGCGTTCAAGTTCAACTTTCCTGGCTCTCAAGCCCACACTTCATCTTATGTGTCTTATATTGCTTCTAGATTACAGAACCATGCTGTCTGCATACTGTGATCATTTACTTCTTCTGTTTATACTTACAATGTGTGAGGTTAAATTTTAATTATTCTGACTTTGGCTCAAGGGAATATGTTTTGTAAGATTTGAAAGATGTAGAAAAATTTTTTTTTGAGTTGGAGTCTCACTCTGTCGCCCAGACTGGAGTGCAGAGGCCACTCCCAGCCACCGCAGCCTCGACTTTCTGGGCTCTGGTGATCCTTCCGCCTCAGCCTTCCAAGTAGCTGGAACTCCAGCCGCACGCTACCACGCCCGGCTAATTTTTGATTTATTGTAGAGATGAGGTCTCGTCAAGTTTCCTAGGTGGGTCTCGAATCTGCGGGCTCAGGCAATCCACTCACCTCAGCCTCCCAAAGCATGGGATTACAGGCTGAGCCACCGAGCCCGGCTAGATTTAGAAAAATTTGATAAATTCATAATTATTATTTACAAACTCTTTATCATCAGGTACCAAAAGTTACTGAACTTGAAGATACAAACTTTATTTTATGCATATATGTATTTTTTGAGTCAGAGTCTTACTTTATTGCTCAGGCTGCAGTACAGTGGCATAATCATGGCTCACCACAGCCTCAACTTCCTGGGCTCAGGCAATCCTTCCACCCCAGCTTCCAGAGTAGCTGGGACTACAGGTGTGTGCCACCATGCCTGGTTAATGTTTTGATTTTCTGTAGAGCTGAGCTCTCACTATGTTGCCCAGGCTGGTCTTGAACTCCTAGACTCTCGTGATCCTCATACCTCAGCCTCCCAGAATGCTGGGATTATAGGCATGAGCCATCATACCCAACTCTTAATTTTTTATTTAACAAAATTTTTTTTTGAGTTGGAGTCTCACTCTGGCCCAGACTGTAGTGCAGTGGCCGCTCCCGGGCACCGCAGCCTCGACCTGCTGGGCTCTGGCGATCCTTCTGCCTCGGCCTTCTGAGTAGCTGGAATTACAGGCACGTGCTACCACGCCTGGCTGATTTTTTAATTTATTGTAGAGATGAGGTCTTGCCAAGTTGCCTGGGTGGGTCTCGAACCCCCAGGCTCAGGCAGTCCACTCACCTCAGCCTCCCAAAGTGCAGGATTACAGGTTGAGCTACCAAGCCCGGCTAACAAAAATTTTTAAAAGATTACTTTGTTTCTTTAGATGGTCTTAGAAAATATTTCCTAGTTTAAACATGAGTTTTCACATTTTTAGAGTTTAACTGTAAATTATCTAATGAGGCTATTACATTATTAATTGTTAAGATTAATCTTGTTAGATTAAAATCCCACAAAGACTAAAGAAATAGCTAAGCAAGATCTCCTTTAAACAGTGAAATAGTGAGGAAAAAAAAAGATCCCATTTATCCAGTTTTATTAGGAAAGGAGGTATTCCACGAAGGAGTTTTTGTGATGGATGAAGACTCAAGGGCCTGGACTATTTGTATGCTAATTGTTTTGGGGGAAGTCTTTTAAAAATGTGTTTACACGGCAGTGCTGCCCTAAACACTGGCGTTCTGAACCTAATCTCACTGTTCAGTGATGATTCCGTTCATTTTGCATTTGACTATTTTTTTGGGTTTTAGTTTCCTTTAGTGTCTTTTGCTGTGGACTCCAGTCATTGTGCCGATTGCCATCTCCCCCTCCAAGCAACTACCAACAAGTAAAAAGAAAATGCTTTTTGTACTTTATTGTTTCAAGGCCTCTTTGAGTTTCTGTTATAGAAGAGTAAAAGAGCCAACTGACTTTGAGCAAGGATCTCACCTAGTAATAAAATTCTTGGATTTAGCAATAGGCTTTTTTTGAGACCCTTGGGAACCTTTTTACTTCAAATTTTTGACTTTTCTCTGGAGGACTAAAAATACTGAATAACTGATTTTAAGGTAAATAAGATGTTATGAGTTTTTAAATAACAATTTTCTAAAATAATTATTTTTTTTTTGTAATTCAAGGGTGGATATTTTAATGTGAGCCTGAATGAAGAAATTTTGAGAAGAGGCCTTGGCAAAACTGTTCTTGTTAAAGGGCTTAATTATGATTCTAAAATCTATTGGAAAATTCACAGAAACTTACTTAAAGCTGAATTAGCAGCCGTGAAAAAAGGAGAAGGGATATGGAAGGAAGAATCAAAAGAAAGTTACTTGGAAAAATTCAAAGATTCCTGGAGAGAAATATGGAAAAAGGACAGTTATTTAAAGACAACTGGACCTGATTTCAACTTGAAAAAAGAAAGTTATTATGACATACTTAGAAGGACTTATGAAGTATGGAAAGAAAACATGAATAATTATTCCTTAATATTGAAGTTCAGAGAACTTAAAAGTCGCATACACTTTCGTAGAAAAGGGTGAACTATCCAAGAGGTCTAGAGGTGACCTACTCCAAAGAGTAAAATATGTAAATAGATGGACATTTTTCATTGAGTTGAAATGGAAATTACCTCCAATGATCAAAGGTAATGACATTTGAAGGTTAAAATAAGATGATTATTATAATATTAGATTTAATTCAAATAAACTGATTAGTATGCTTTTTTAGGCAAAAATGGAATACTGTATAAAAAGCTACCAGGCTGAAGGATTTATGTATGTAGTGCTAATACTTGAAGAGAAAGGTTAACTACTTGCCATTACATTTTTTTAGTTATTTTGGGTGGGCATATTTAATTTTTGTCCAAAGAGAATATTTATTTTTCCAGTCTTATCTCTGTTCATTGTTTATAGTAAAGGAATGATTTATACTGTATGTCTGTGGCTACTCTTTTCTCCTAACTGCTTGTGAATTTGGGGCAGAGATCATGCTGCGTGGGGAATGGTTTAATGCTTTGTGGTTTTTTTTTGACTCAGCCATAGAAAAGAATTTCAGAGCAAGTCCCAAGTATAGTTTAATGCAGAAATTCATTAGAAAGAAAGAGACATGCACAAAGGGATACATGCTTGCCTTTGACAAGAAGCTTTATGTACTTTTACAATGATTATTTTTTTGTTGTTTTTGTTTTTGTTTTTTTGAGTTGGAGTCTCACTCTGTCGCCCAGACTGGAGTGCAGTGGCCGCTCCCGGTAATGGCAACCTTGACCTGCTGGGCTCTGGCGATCCTTCTGCCTCAACCTTCCAAGTAGCTGGAACTACAGACGCATGCTACCACGCCCGGCTAATTTTTGATTTATTGTAGAGATGAGGTCTCACCAAGTTGCCCAGGCGGGTCTCAAACCCGCGGGCTCAGGCAATCCACTCACCTCAGCCTCCCAAGGTGCGGAATTACAGGCTGAGCCACAGAGCCCGGTTTACAATGATTATCAAGCAGACCACGAGCTAAGAGTGATGGGCTGCAGGTGTCTGGTCACAAGTTTTGACTAGGACCTTCTAAATAATGAAAGTTATTACATAACTAGATTTGGGCTTTTCTTAAAACATCATATCTGTGTTTTGGGTAATTCCCTATTGTTTCTGTGATTTAATGCACTGGCAGATTCACATTCCAGCCTGCAAAGTGGTCAGGTTTGATGTGCCTGGTCAGTCGGGTGAAGGTCGTGTGCCAATAAGAAATATGCCTGAAGCTTACCCTATTTTAATTTAAACTGCCTACATGAAACTTACCCATCTTTGTCTAACGTGCACTAAATAACCTGCCTAGTCACTTAGGCCATTCCTGGTAATAAAGAATGGCTGGCTGGGCTCGGTGGCTCAGCCTATAATCCCAGCACTTTGGGAGGCCGAGACGAGTGGATTGGCTGAGACTGCGGGTTCAAGACCCATCTGGGCAACTTGGCGAGACCTCGTCTCTACAATAAATCAGAAATTGGCCAGGCATGGTAGCGCATGTCTGTAGTTCCAGCTACTTGGAAGGCTGAGACGGAAGGATCGCCGGAGCCCGGCAAGTTGAGGCTGCAGTGTCCGGGAGCGGCCTCTGCACTCCAGCCTGGGCGACAGAGTAAGACTCCACCCCCCCAAAAAAAAAAATTAGAAAACATACTATTTCAGCCGGGCTCGGTGGCTCAGCCTGTAATCCCGCGCCTTTGGGAGGCCGAGGCGAGTGAATTGCCTGAGCCCGCAGGTTCGAGACCCACCTGGGCAACTTGGCGAGACCTCATCTCTACAATAAATCAGAAATGAGCCGGGCGTGGTAGCGCGCACCTGTAATTCCAGCTACTTGGAAGGCTGAGGTGGAAGAATCGCCGGAGCCCAGCAGGTGGAGGCTGCGGTGGCTGGGAGCGGCTACTGCACTCCAGTCTCCGCGACAGAGTGAGACTCTAACTCAAAAAAAAAAAAAGAAAACATACTATTTCACATAATAAATTGGGAAGCAGGGCAGTTCAAGTACTGGCCACTATAGGACCTCAACCATGTCATGAGCAGTCCCAGCTCTTACCATCCTGGGCTTAGACAGTCCTCTCATCTCCGTCTCCCAAAGTGCTGGGATTGTAGGTGTGAGCCACCGTGTCTGGCCCGTTTTTAAATTTTGTTGTTGTTGTTGTAGTCTCACTCTGTTGCCCAGGCTAGAGTGCAGTTGCACGTTCACGGCCACTGCAGCCTCAACCTGCTGAGCTCAGGTGATCCTTCCGCCTCAGCCTTCCATTGGCTGGAAATACAGGTGCATGCCGCTATGCCCGGCTTATTTTACGATTTATTGTAGAGACAAGGTCTCACCTAGTTGCCCAGGCTGGTCTCTAACCCCTGAGCTCAGGCAGTCCTCTTGCCTCAGCCTCCCAAAGTGCTGGGATTATAGTCTTGAGCCACTGTGCCCAGCCTACTACCAAGTTTTCATTTTCTGGTTTTAATGTCTTAATAGCTTCTTGCTTTAAGGAGTTGTTTTACTTGTATTTACAGAGAAGTTAGAGTACATTTGAACTAGTTTCGTGGCAAGCTCTTAAGGCTTTTTCCTTCTTTCTTTTTTTTTGAGTTGGGACTCTGTCACCCAGGCTGGAGTGTAGTGGCATGATCAACACCACACTGCAGCTTCAACCTTCTGGGCTCAGGTGATCCTTCTGCCTCAGCCCCCTGTGTAGCTGGGACTATAGGCGTGTGCTGCCATGCCCAGCTAATTTTTAAAATTTTTGTAGAGATTAGGTCTTGCTACATTGCCCAGGCTGGTCTCAAACTGCTGGGCTCAAGCAGTCTTCCTGCCTGGGCCTCCAAAGTGCTGGAATTAGAGGCTTGAGCCTCTGTGCCTGGCATAGCACACACTTCAAAGCAGGCTGATGAAGATGTTTCTAGAACTAAAGTGAGGACAATGAGTGAGGATGTTCAGACAAATGAGGTTTAAAAAAATTGAGGTGTTGGAATCATTGCTTTGATTTTCTGCTTTGTTTTGGTTATCAAAGCACAACTTGTGGCCGGGCTTGGTGGCTCAACCTGTAATCCCAGCACTTTGGGAGGCCGAGGCGAGTGGATTGCCTGAGCCCGCGGGTTCGAGACCCGCCTGGGCAACTTGGCGAGACTTCATCTCTACAATAAATAAAAAAA